AAATAATAATAATAATAATCAAAAAAATAGTACAACGCCTTTAATAACCTTCTTACAACTCTTTTTTTTTCCTGTGCTCTTCTCTTGTTGCAATTTCAACTTTCCCCCCTGCCTCCTCCTTGCTCTTCCTCGCCACTCTCTTTCTCACTTCTGAAAACCTCACTTCCCCCATCCCTGATTCGTCGGATGGCTTTACGTATCGGATCCGTACATGGAGGGAGGCTACATCCCCCATGCCTCTGTTCCACTATGCAGAACCATGAACCCTTCTCCAGTCCACTCCCTCCTTTCCCTTCCTCTTCCTTTTTCACACATGCATCAATCCTTCTTTCGCCTGCCGTGCAAGTAAAAAATCTCGCAACCGCGCTCTTCTCGCTCTCTTTTTTTTTTTTTTTTTTTTTTTTTTCCCGCAGGCAGATGAGGTGCATCATCTCAAGCGCTTGCGGCAGCATCCAAGCCGCAAATAGCTTGGAAACGTACTGATTGATTTTTTTTTTGAGTTAACACAATCAGCATGCCAGCTTTGCGCAAGCCCCACCATCCGTCGTGGCCATTTACCAACCCCATTGGGTCCGCAGATAACAGATTTGAACATTCCAATTCGCCGAAGATCCATAAAACGGCTGGCGGCGACAACCAAAAGGAGGCCCATGCTAAAAAAAAAAAAAAAAAAAAAAAAAAAAAGGAAGCCCACACTGGTTTGTTTCTTTTTTGGCGCAAACTTCCGCAAAGCGCATTTGCAGCCCTGGAGAAAAGTGCCTCGGAAGTACTTCTGGTTTAAACCAACCAGTACTAGGCCCAGCTATTGGCCGCGGAAAAACAAAAGAGTAGAAACATTTCTAGTCGGATGAATTTGGGCGCTCCTGTAGTAGCCCGTACATTTCCTAAAATTGTGGCACGTTAACGGGCACGACTCTAGGAAGTACTTCTGGTTTAAATGGCTGAAGATTGCCATACTGTTCAGCAAGTGCGGGGTGTATATTTCAACAGCTCGTGGGTGTACCAACTGAGCTACGGCGACCACGCCCGTTGGTCTCTTTACCCTTTTGGCAAATTTGGCATCTATTGCAGTGTTAATTCTTATAAACTGTAGCACCTACTGGTATTGGTTTGCAGGCAGATAGGCATCAAGTAGATAATGTAATATACCCCCCACAACCATCTTATGTGCCCGATCACAACTCCCAGTAATTTTGTATCTGTATTCAGTGCAACGTTCTGGCCGCATACAGTCCGGGCGCTGACTTTGAAAGAAGAAGCCAGTGCTGCCACTTCATCTGAATGTACAATCACGATCAAGTTCGCTCGTCCTTCAGCTCCATTCTTCCCCTCTTGCATCCCAGTTGAGCCACCGAAGCTTTCTGTCGCTGAAGTTGGGCCTCCATCATTTACCTGGCAAATGGACGGAAGGAACAAGTTATGGGACTGCTACCCACCAGTGGTGCTAAGTTGATGCTAACAGAACATGAACCTGGCCACGTGTATGACCAGGGTCATGCTTTCTGAAGGTCAAGCACAGTACCTGTGGCCCTTGACAATCTTGCAGTACCTTCCATCGTGGACAGTTTGCCACAGACAGTATCATCGTTTTGTGTCTGCGTCCGGGGACTTCAAACTACCACTTGCCTTTCCAGCCCCCCTCCCTCTCTCCACCCCGCCCCCCTTTCTGCATCCATCCGAGTCATCTCCTGCACTGTTTTATTTTTCTCTCTCCTGCTTGCTTCGTTATTGCGCTGATGACCAGAGTCCCAGGTGGGTGCAAGGGAAGGGTGGAGGGGGACTTCCACTTCAAGTTTGGAGATGTGATCTCTCTAGATTTTTTTACTTATTATTATTATTTTTTGCTTGAAAATCAGCTCGGCGAGGCGAAGGTGTGTGTGGGGGGTGCTGATACGGGCAGTCATCCCCTCTACACCCTCGACATTGGATGGCTCCGTTCCATTCGTGGACCCTGTTTGTCTTAGCGATGTTCCTCATGTCACTGCTGTCAAGCCCGGTGACAACACCAAAGCAGTCGGCCAGAGGGGATTCGGTTGGGCACATCTGGGCACACAGCTCCGTAAGGTTCTGTGGACTCTATTTTTTCTTACAAAAGGGGCGTTGAAGGTCTTGTACCCCTCCCCAACTCCCTGCCCCCCCCCTAGCCCCCACCCACCCATCTCTCTCACCCTTCAGTTCTAAAATGGGCTCCCACTCCGGAGGCAGCCACCCATTGAGACCTTTTTTTTTTTGTGCCTGTGCACGCTTGAAGCATCCGCCATCATAGCATCGCCCTCTTTTCCTCCAACGCGCGAGCACTATCTGGCACTATCTGTTCCTCCGGACCGCAAAACTTGCTCCTTCACTGCCGCGGTGGTGCAGGGGATAGAGCAGTAGGAGCGGCTTGTTGGGCAACACTCTCACTCTCTGATCGTCCACCATCTTTGCCAGGACAGTCGCTGGACCCTTTGACAAAAAGTCGTGAGGCGCTGTCGGAGTGTGCGATGTCGTGGATGCGCCATGCCGCCGGGCGGTTCAGCAGCAGCAGCTGCTGCTGGTAGGGGCGGTGCCTGTTTTAGCCCTTCGGATGGAAGTGCAGAAGATCTCCCTGCCCCGGGCGACTGCCGCATCCTGTACAGTGGCTCCTCTCCCTTCCCCCGCATACCTGTAACGACGACGACGACCACACACCATTGCTGGACATGCTCTCCCCTGTCTTGCCTGCTCAGCGCCACACTGGCATTCCCCCACCAACCGACCACTCCCGAATATTGAAGGTGTGGCCGTTTCCCATCCCATAGGAGGCACTGCATTCCGCAACCTTAGTCAACTCCTTAAAAACGAATTGTACAGTCCCTTTTAAAAAGCGTGTCATTGCTTGCCAAAAAAGCCTACCTCCTTCCCAGCAGATATATATGCTATCCAACCCCCCTGCTCATTCCCCAGCCAGTCCCTAGAGAATCGCTGAATAGCCAGAGTTTTTTTTTTTTTTTTTTGAACACCCCCACCAGTGTTAGTGCTGCTAGAGCAGACACCACTAACACCTGGGGAGAGGCTCCATCTATTACGGCTTCACTCTGTTTATTGGTAATATTAGCCTTGGGCACTGGGCCCGGTTTAAAAAAAAATAAAAAAATTAAAATAAAAATAAAAAATAAAAATAAAAAATAAAAATAAAAAATAAAAATAAAAAATAAAAATAAAAAAAATAGTGGGGTATGTCCTTTGTTGTTCTGTGGATTGAATCTAATTTAACTTTGAGTCTTTGACCCTCCGCCACTGTATTCTAAGTTCTTCCTGGATATATTGCTCGAGTAGTTTCATCATTTCCTTCCCTTCAATTCTTTTTTACTCTTTCTATAGCTAAGATGCATCTTTTTCTACAGAGGGCCCAGATGACGGCTCTCCTTCCAGTCTTAAGCCACCAGTACACCACGCATCGGCCCGCGGGTGTCAGCACGAAACCCGCACCACTTCGGAGGCCGCCAATTTTTTTTTCTTCAACGGCAGGCCTGGCCACGTGGTGCCTCCGAGTTTTGCTTGTGGGGCGACAAAAACTTTCTGCAAGGCTGGGGCCGTGTACTTGCGGTTTAAACATGTTCTCTTCAAAAGGACTGTTCGTAGGGGAGGTCCACGCTTCACACAGGAGTGCCCTCCAGTCCCATGGCCCCGCAGGTGCTGCACCCCTAGCAGCCTCCCTCCAGATCCTGTCCCACCAGCGCCAAGTTAGAACCGCCCCCGGGCACTGTCGGAATATATGCTCTATGGTCTCGGGGATCTTTCGGAGAGGGAAAGCGGTCAGACAGCAGGCGTTAGGGAACTTTCTTTTCTTTCCGTTTCTTATCTCCTCCTTTTTTTTCCCATTTTTGTTCTTTTCGGACATAACTGCCGTGAGTACCAGTAAAGAAAATGCGATGGGACCCAGGCTCAACAAAACTCGGTGCGCAGTGAAAATCAGGCTCTGCAAAAACAGGGTCGGAGGTACTGGTCGTTTAAAGGACCCACTGTAATGGTGGTTTCACCTCGGCATGACACCCTCCCTCCCCTCCCTCCCC